CCCCCCCCTAAAAAAAAAAAAAAATTGCATAACCTTTGTTTTCCATTCTCCTGGGTATTACAGCCGTCCTAAGAGAAATTGAAAACAATGCTTATGCAAAATTCTGGGAGGCAAATAAGGTGCATTATGGGAGATGTACAAGTGTCGAATAGCCAGTCACCGTATTTATTCGATTAAACGCCGCGCCTTTTTTTTCCTTTTTCCTTTATTCAAACGCAGCGTTTATTCGAGGACGCTGTTTACTACGAAATTATATTTCTTAAATCACTGCCAGTAGTAGGCCATTTGCAATGGCGTCATTTTGCTACTACGACCAGAATCTTTCAGGGTATTGCTTTCGTGTGCAAATTAAGGCTTTTGTTATTCAAACCTTACTGGGATTACCAAATTAAAATATGAAAGGAACAACGAAATGAATTCTGATCTTAGTAGTAAGAGAAGTCTTCGTGCAAATGGCCCATTACGATAAATCATTTTTAAATTGTTTGTAAACCAGAAAGATGTTAAAGTTCCATTGTCACTCTTTTGCTGAGATACACATGTAATTGCCTGGATGGTGTAGATCACAAATTTCTAATCCTCAAATAAACGCCGCATTCTTCTGATTGAGTGCGGTGTTTATTCCAGGGCGGCGTTTATAAGTAATTTTGCTGCTGTCTGCGACGTTTAATCGAGGGCGGCGCTTAATCGAGTAAATATGATTCATTCTTCTGCCTGCCTCTTTTCCTACCTGTGTTTCTTCCTTTAGCCTTTCATTTCTCCCTCTCTACTCAGCCCGCCCTTCGTCCTCTGCTCATTTCTTACTCCGACTGTTTCTGTTTTAGGTTGATCGAGTTGATGCTGCAATCGAAACAAAGCCAGTAAAGATAGTCTACAAAGATGCCGAGGGTATCAGCACATTCTGCATAAATAAGGTAGACGTATTCCCAACAATACACTATCGAGAAGGGAACTGGAGCCGAATTGCGTCTCGCAATTGTTTCTGGGATGGTTCCTGGGGAAGCGCCGGTCAGCTATTGGCCAATTTTTTTCCCTGTCCCTAGTAACAGTCCCAGAAGTCTTTTCGAAAGTTGACTCGGACCCAGTTTTCCTCCAGTTTCTTGAGACCCATCTGGCAGCTAACGGTTTATTCAATGTTGTGAATTTGATATTTTGTATATTCATTTCAGCGTTCATTGGACGTAACATGTAGTTGTTTTTCTTCCCAGGCAAATCCAAATTGTATTGCAGTAGGGAGTGTGAAGGATGTTGAAGAAGTGGATATTTCGTGTTTATTAAGTCCGGAACAAGTGATGTGGAATGACGATGAATTGGACCATGAGATGACTGATGCCCAGAGAAGAAGGTTTGTAAAGTGTAAAGAAACTAATCTGGATCTATGATTATAATAGCGGGCCTTATCTCCAGGTTGCTATAACGCATGCGCGGCATGTGTATGTAGCCAGCATTCCTTTGGTCTTCCAATAAGAATGAGTCAAATACATAGAACGCAATCTGATCACGTGCGTTTTGACCTTCTCTCACGTAAAACTTACGCAAAGCACAGCGTTGGAACAAGAGCATTTTGACCTTCGATCGATCTCACCCGCACTCCCTGACCTTTGCTACTACTTGTTCATGTTAAAGGAGCTGTGTGTCACGAAATCTACCAGAGTTTGGACAGTGCAAACTACCACTAAGTTGAGCGAAATATAAAAATAACCGCTCAAAGCGTTAAAAGAAGGTGTAAATAACACAGCAAATACAAACGTAGGCACGGGTGGACAAAGATGAAGGAGATTAAAAAGGATTGCAATTGTGGTTTTTGAAAACTTGTTACGCTAACAGTTTTTCAAAGTTCATTTCTGTTGTTTGTAACGTGTGAAATAATACTGGGAAGACATTTGTTTGATAGGAAGCTGTGATTTTGTCATTCACAAATTTTTTTTTCAGTTACTTACTTACGTAGTGAATAAGGACACGTAATTCGCATTCTAGACAAAATGAACGAGCCTGCCGTAACACAGTACCCTTAATTTCTATAGTAGTGTTATTCTGCGGAATGTGTCATGGGGCAGTAAAACAGATTACCCGCATGATGACAGCTTTCATCCTTCAATACTACCACTCCTTATTGTCTCAAATTAAAACTAAGAAAACTGTTATATTTATTTTGTAATATACTGGGCCCGGTTCCTTGAAAAATAGTTAAGTTTAACCCAGGATTAAGCCAAGTTTTAAGCAAGGTTTACAAAATACTGTTGTGCCTTTACTTCGAAAAAAAGAAATGATAACACAAAATGTTACTCTAAGCAATGCATAGGAAGATAGATACAAAAAGTAAAACAAACTTTTAATCCTAGATTAGCGCTAATCGGCCCTTCCGCAACCGGGCCCTGAAAGTACCGCGGATGTGCTAGCTCCAATCATTATTTATTTATTATTTAAATGGTAAGCGCTCTAAGAGTCACGTCTTTTCAAGACTGACAGCATCTTGACAAGATGTCTAGTTTGAGAGTAAGCTCCCTTTTTGGATGAGTCGCGAGAAGTCACTTGTGGGAGGGGGGGTGGGGACGGGAAAGGAGACGTGATAGTGAGAGTCGGGAAAAGAAAGGGAGAGCTTTTTTTTTTTCGTCCGTCCCCCGCGGAGTGTCTTACGACTGACTTTTTTCGTTTCGTTTATTAGTGATGAACCGGACTACAGTCAGCCAGGTAGCATCAGCCCCCAAAAGACGACACCAGGCGGCCAGTCTCATTACTCAGGAAGAGTGGTAAGTGTTAAACAAAGTGCCTGCTAAATAAAAAAGAAGACCTTGATAACTTGTACCCCACTTCTTTTGAGGCTTTTCGCTTGAATCAAAGTCAGATTTCTGGTACTTCAATCAAACGTAGCTTTCAATTGCAGCAGCTTACGATTGAATGATATTTCTTTAATTTGGTGAAGATATGTTACACTTAGTGCGCCGAGTGATTCGGACGAAATATACATGCTTTTAACCCGAATCGGTCAGATTTAGGAAACTTTTGGGCCGTGAAAAAATACTCCATCTTGGTGTGAACAGAAACGGCAGATAACTGGAACAAGTCGTTTAGGCATGAAGCATCTTGTAACAGCGGTTGGCCGAGAGGGCTTGGTGCTCTAAATCCCAGTCCTCAGTCTTGAATATTTACTTCCGTCTCAGTGGGTTCCGGTCATCGCTTCTACTCATTTACTTCCGGTATAGTTCGATTACCTAATTCACCCCAAAGAGTAGCACAGAAACCTAACCCACATGTGACTCTCCACTTTTCAAGATCGGCACGGTGCAGCTTCGCTTTGTTTTAGAAACGGCGCTGAAATCACCGTTCTTATGTGTGAACAAAAGCCTTATCCTGTATGGTTGCCGTGCCGGTGCAAGAGCTATCTGGTATATCGTAGACATAACCTTAATGTAACATTAGGGAGCCGGGATTAAGTAACAACGACGGTGACGGCTACGAAAACGTTACTTAAAAAGTGAAGTTGCGCTGCTTCAAACTTTACCGCGCTTATTCCATCTCGTTTAATTCGTCAATTGTTGGCAATTTTTTCTGGAGTTGAATTTTAAAAGACTGTATCGAAGTCTAGGAAAAGAAAAAAACAATCGTTGCCTTGTGTTCGCGTCCTCCACAAAACGTGAAATTAGGTATTTTCACGTCGAAGACGTGCAGTGGCGGCAGAAAAATATGCAAAAAAGCGTGATGCACGTGCAAAGTTGTTGCTTTGCATATCTAAACCTATTCCTTTTTTGCCGTTCTCGTTGCCGTCGCTGTCGTCGTTGGTTAAGCTCCCTATTGTCCACTCACGTAAGACGAAAGCAACCTAGTGGGCCAAAAAAATCTCAGAGCAAAAACGCTTCGTTGGCATGTGACGTGATCGCGTTTTTGTTCTTTGCTTTTTACAGCTTCTCAGGAGGCCAGTTCATGGCGTCAAACGGATGGACTCTCATCCCCATCTACCTTACTGTAAGTAATTTCAGTTGTATCAATCGCATGTTTTTGTGCAAGAACACGACAAAATATGTTACCAGTGGCAAACCGGATGACTGAAAACATCTAACCTGGGGAAAATTACCATTTACAAAGAGGCAGACATGTAAGGGTGCCAGTGGTACTAAACTAAAATACCATAGTTATCTCTGTCTGCACGACGCGTCGGTGGGCGTTGCTCGACAAATGGTAGAAAAGTTTTCCGATCGTCTTGGTTGGAATTCCCCATGGAAAAAGGGGAATAGTTTTGAGGATTTCGACTTCTGTGGAAAATTTTGACCTAAATGAGCTACAGCGAAATGTTCGTTTTCTTTTGCAAATCATAAGCGCTCGACTAGTAAGCACGAGTGACATATACCCAGTGCCAATCGCGGAGAAACACACGTATTAAGCCCTAGCTGGTTAAGAGATAAAACTGAGGGTTCTTAGAGAATGGTATAAACAAACTGGCAGTAGCGCCTCCCCGAACTGAAAAGTTTCAAATCAAGTATTCCTTGCCACTATTTCCCAGAGTAAGGTGGTTTTTTGACACGGCTTCCTTGTTAGCACAGAACTAAGCCGATTTTGTTGTAAATACGTTTAATATAATGCACCACTCAGTTTCAAAGCCGTCCATACCCCCGGTTACCAAGGGCACACCTGTTGGCATGTGACTTTTTTGAAAAAATTCCCTGGTATGTTGGCATTTTAGATGGTCAAATGCCCCACTGGCTAGTGGTTCAAAAAGCATCAAACTCCCCACCCACCAGCGACCGTTCAAATTTTTCCATGCGTCAAACCGTTTACTCAAATGTAAATATCCTACTAAACACAACCGAAATATCTTAAGTCTCGGAAAGCTGTCTTCCGACGTTTTTTTCATTTTAATAAAATTGTTCATTGCAGAAAGCCCACATTTAACGGGCTTTTTCAAAGGCTCTCAAAAGTTCCAACAAAACAGTGAATATAGGAGCAATGACCCATGGACACGATGCACATGCTGAATGCGGAAAAAATTACGAAATCCTTTCGCTTGCAACGCTGACCAGCGTTTTGACACGAAAGTCAAATGCCCAACTAGGAGGGGCTCATTTTGGATCAAATTCCCCACTGAACAAAAGTAAAAGTCCAGTCAAATGCCCGGGATATGCCCAGTGAGGATGGGCGGATTTGGAATTGACTGGTACATAACAATGTTGCAATGAAAATACTTCAAAATATGCTGTAATTATTTTTTCCATAGATATCTCAGGCTCCCAAGATGGCAGTATTCGCATGTGGGAGTTTGGTCATTCTCAGGAGATTACATCGCATCACACATCAGGTTCTTATCAAAGAGTCACCAGGGCACGGTTTAGCCCGCACGGGAACAAGGTAATATTGATGTTATATTAGTGAGTACTGTCTTTACTGTATTTGAAAGCAATTTTCATTTTCATTTTACCAGAAGCATATAACCTATGCTTATGATTTTACTTAATAGTAGTCTTTTAATTTTACCTCCGAAAATTAGTATGTAATAAATATATTGCGGTTTTCTCTTCCAGTGTTGAACGTTATGTACAATGAGGGACAAAAGTGTTGACACACTTCTGTAAAATGGCCCCTTTTTGCATAGTGGATATACTTATCCCCTTCCCCTGTCTACCCCAACCCCTTGCCCCCCAAATCAATGTTGAATTTTGGACCCTCAAGTCTTTTTTTTACTTCAGACAACATTGATTCGGGGGGTCGGGGGATTTACGGCGTTTAAAAGGAATGAAATAATAAATGAATGAAATGTTTGTTAAAAGCACCTGTTTTAAACAACTGTGTCAACTACTTTTGTCCCTGATTGTCTGAAATATGTATCTGTGTTTTCCGGCTAGCTTTTTGACGCTGCTGAATTTTTGTGCGATGACGTTACTCTATGGGCCAAATTGTTTGTTTTTAAATATCAATTTATAGAGTTTCGTCCTGATTTGTAGTATGCGTAGAGTAAAATGTACGAAGCGTATGTCATTACTTAATCTTGTACCCC